TTTTTTTGCTACTCTGTCAGGGTTCCTGCAGTAATATCATATAGCTTTAAAAATGAACAAACATGTGAATAAGTGAATAATAAAAAAGTTAGAGTCTTAATTTTAAAAGGAAGCATTTTCTCAACAAAAGAAAATGAACGACTTAATTGAAAATAAGCCAAAGATGAGAAGAAACATTTCATCAAAGAAGATGTACAGATGGTAATAAGCATACAAAAGATGTTAAACATTGTATCTCATTAAGGGTTGCAAGTTAAAACAAAGACATCCTTATTAGAATGGATAATACCCAAAACACTAAAAAGACCCAAGGTAGTCAAAAATGTGTTGCAACAGAAATTCTCATTTGTTGTTGGTGGGAATATAAAAGGGTACAGCCACTTTGGAGAACAGTGTGTCAGTTTGTTTCAAAACTGAAAGTACTTTTACTTTGCTACCAGCAAAGTAAAAATAAACCCAAAGGAGTTCGGAAAAATCATGTCCACACCAAAACCTTCATGTGAATGTTTACAGAGCTATATATAGAATTGCCAAAAGTTTGAACCAATCCAGATGTCCTCTAGTAGGTTTTTGAATAAATGAACCTTGGTAAATCGAGATGATGGAATATTAATGAGAAGACATGGAGGAAAACTAAATGTATATTGATTACTAAAGTCGATCTGAAAGGGTGCACATCAGATTTCTAACTATGTAACATTTGAAAGTGGCAAATCTATAGAGACAATAAAATGACCCTTAGCTACCAAGGGTTCAGGTCAGATAGAAAGATGAATATGTTCATCAGGGGCGATTTTTAGGACAGTGAAACTTTCTAAATATTACTTTAATAAAGGATGCAAGATATTACACACTTGTCAAAAACCATAGAATGTAAAACACAATGTAAGCCACGAACTTCTGCTAATAATAATGTATTGATATTGCCTCATCAACTGGAACAAGTGCTGTGGTCTCAAGGAGAAAATACTTCTTTACTCAAGTGTTGAATTCACAGGTTGCACAATACAAGCATCCCAGAGGCCTTGGGTCATGCAGTTTCCATTCATATCCAGCCACTTGGTGTAACTTTTTCTGCTTTCTTAAACCAGAGATTTAACTTTCCAATTTTTGAACTTGTTACAAATGGAGTCATGCAAATAGGATCTTTGCATCTGGGTTCTTTTGCTTCACATTTTACTTTTGAGATTCATAAAATTTCATTTTTCTTAATAATTAACTACTGTATAAAATTTCAATGTATAAATATACTGCAATTATTTATCCATTCTACTCTTGACATTCCTGTGTGTGTCTGGTTTTGGACAATTATAATTGTGTTGCAATGAAAGATCTTTTGCATTTCTTTTGGTATTCTTATGCATGCATCTAAGACATTTTTGATATCAAAACTTTGCATTAATAAAGAACCTTTGGTGTCATATAGCTTCAGCATTTATGGATTCTATGTGTGTTTCTGGGTCACATTTGTATTTGGCCAGCGTAATCTGGATGGAGGTCAAATGACAGATAGGTTTTGAGCCTTCTCCACTAGTTTCTTAATTTCCTTTGGCAGCTCTCAGCAAGGCATCTTCTCCCAATGAAAAGGCAAGAGTGTTATAGAGAAAACTCAGATACACATGCTCAGCCTCCATTCAAGGCATGTCTACTAACATTCCACTAGTCAATGGAAATGACATGACAAAGACCAAAGGCAAGGGACTAAGAAATACACTCTGTCCACAGTAAGGTCTGAACACATGGCATTGCTGGCCACACTCAAATGGAAAAGAGAAATAGTCTCCTTTCCTGAATGTGAGCAAGGAAGAATTAATTCTGTTGTATACTATTCTAACCCAGGGATTTACAAACTCTTGCTCACCATTTGTTTTAGTAAACCAAATCTTACTGTAAAATATCCATCTCCATTCATTTAGGGATGGTCTATGGCTGCTTTCCCACTGCATGTCAGATGTTAGTTGAGACACAAACCAGAAGACCTGAAAAATGCAAAATATTGACTATCCAGCTCTTTATAGAATATGTGACTTTCCCTGACTCAAAAACAAGCATGCTGGCTAGGTGTACACCTCGAGCTAGAATTGCTGGGATATTGAAGAGACTACCAGCTTCCTAAAGTTTGGCATTTTACCTCCAGTTGTTCTACTATTCACTAAACCTGTGTATTCTCTGACCTCTGCAGCTTCATTGACTTTCACTTTGTTGCAATATGTTACTCTTATTCCTTTCTTAATAAACTTACAACCTTAGAGCTAGCTATTTTTGTACAAAAATTTTCATGTTATGCTAGTCATGTATTTGATTCTCTATATATTAAAGACTCAAAAGAAACTATCACTATTTCCGTACAATTAATATTTCTTTATAATTTCAACTAATTTCTTTTGTGAATGATAATGTTTTGTCTGGATCCTTTTCCTTCTGCCTGAAAAATGGAATTATTTTTATAATTCATACTCTGAAATAAATTTTCTGTTTGTTGTCCAGAAACATTTTATTTTCTTTTTAATTTTTATTTATATGTTTTATTAACACATTTGTTTTATAATATAATCTGGACATTTCAACTGTGAAATTCTAAATTGATAGCTACTTGTAATTCATTCTTAAAATACAACATTTTTCTTCTGTTTTCTTTATTTCTGTTGAGTTTTCTGTCAGCTTTGTTGTTACTCTGAGACAATCTGTTTTCTGTAGGTCCTTAAAATTTTTGGCTTTGCATTTAATTTTTAGATACTGAGTTATGCCTGCTTGCATATTTCTCCCTCTTGGCAGTACATCATGTTAAGAATATGTGGGTTGGTATCATCTTAGAGTTTTAAAAATTATAGCCTGCTCTTTTTTCTTCCAAACTGGCTTATGTTCATTCTTTCCTCCTCTCATGAACTGCAATTGCCCCTCTCTTTTACCGTTGTATGAGACATTGGTATTCTACATTCCAATTTTTCTAGTTTTGCATCAATAGAATTGTTTTTATAAGCCTCTGTTAAAGTTTAAGAGGGAATGGGAGGGAGAGGGAGGGGGTGGAGTGGGTGGTAAGGGAGGGGGTGGAGTGGGTGGTAAGGGAGGGGGTGGGGGCAGGGAGGAGAAATGACCCAAGCCTTGTATGCACATATGAATAATAAAACAATAAAAAAAAGTGAAGAGAAAAAAAAAAAGAAATGAGGTCCCTTAAAAAAAAAAGAAAAATTCAGGTTTTTGGAAGCTTTATTTACTAAATTCTTAAGTACATTATCCATTTGCTTTTTTTAAGAGCCAGAATTCAAACTTTATTTTTTTGATACAATTCCCTAATTTTAGTACATATTTTGTAAGTTTCTTGTATTTGTTAATCACAAGTATTTTAAAATTTTTATATGCAAATTTCAATATGTGACTTATCTTTTGGTTAGCAATTATTATCTGTTGCTTAGTTTACATGCTTTCATAGGGTTCCCAAGATTAACATTTTGTATTAAAATTGTGAGGATTCAGATAAACTTTGTATTTCACCATCATTGCTCCTAAGTTATTTAGAAAAGATCTGATTTTAAAACTAGGTTCCTACCTCTTTTGGAGTCTGGGGGAAACTCCTTTGTCTTACAGTTAAGGATGCCTTTTCTTAGCAGGTTATTAACTTTAGTGTGATATGGACAAATGTTTTTATCTAATTTTTAAATAGTTCTATTTAGTCTCTTAAGAAAATAAGCCCTGTGACTTCAGAACTTGTAAAATATCTCGAGGAGAAAACTGGCTCAGTGTTAGGCTCAGCATTCTCCTAGAACATTCCTAAAAGATTTGGGTCCTATTGTGTCTCCAATTTTTGTATAGTGTCCTGAAAAAAATCACCCCAAATTCTGTTGCTTACTATTGCCTTCATCCTCTTCTTGTCTGGCTTCTAGAATGAAGAACCACACAAATCTCACCTCACTTTTCTGTAATTTCACCATCTTCAAGATATTGTCCCTTTCTTATTTTTTCCATTAATATTTCATTGCTTTATGTTTTGTCAGCTTGAGTTTCCCAAGTCAAACATAACTACTTCAAAGGCAGAAACAATTTGAGTCTGGAGAAAACTAGTTTGTATTGTCATATGTATGTGAAATATACTAGACTTATGAGTAAAAAGAAAATATTATAATTTTAATTTGATACTGTAACAATATTTTATGGTTTTGATAAATTCATCTTGCTGTGCATAATACATGTATTTTTTCTAAATAATTAGAATGAAAAGATTATTTTGAAGTGCTATTTGACTGTCATATTGGTAGGACAGAATGTTGTTTATTAGTGTTGACATTCTCAATATGATAAAGCCCATAGTCATTGGGAAGAATATTTTTAAAAATTGAGAAACATTTCATAGCAGCAACGCTCTAGTCAATGTCATTCAACCACTGGTTTTGAAAAAGATACAAATCATCCAAACAGACAAAATTTTAAATATTCTCATGTGAAATATAGCCATCATTGTAGAAAGTAGCCATTTTGAAAGTTTACACGAGGAGCCTTAGTAAAGAGAAATGGTAGGTGAGTTTAAAATACACATATAATACAGTTTAACAGATTTTATGTGATGTTTAGAAAGAAATATTTTTATCCCATTGATTTTTAGAACCCTAATGACTACAAAAGATCTCTGGCACTCTGTCTGTCTTTCCCTCTCCCACTTTCATAAACAACCTACACAGGTGACTTGTGCACACACACACACACACACACAAAATGGATAGAGATAATTTAGAACTTTAATAATGCAGTAAATGCAGTCAAATGTAGTTTATTTAATAACACATATCTTTTTACATAGAAATTAAGAGTCAACTATGATCAAATTTTACCTATAATTGCAATTGAAAATGGTGAGTCAAAATGGGCATGCTGAATTAATTTCATTCCTTAGTTCAGTATATAGCTGGTATTTCTGAAGACATTTAAAAGTTTCCCTTGTGAAGGAATATGGAGGTACTTTTAGTGAAATAGTTATAGTCAATAGGCTAAGCCACTGTGGAAATTCCTCAGTAGAAGCCACAGGACCAGTATCTTCCACAGCACAGTGGGCGATAGCAGCCATAACCATAGCCACCATAGCCACAGCCAAAGCCACGGCCACAGCCATAGCCACAGCCATAGCCACCATAGCCACAGCCTAGGCCACCATAGCCATAGCCCAGGCCACCATAGTAGTTGCCATAGTAGCACATGGTGTAGGGAGTGGAGTGTTCAGTTGAGGACCAGGAGGTGAGTCTCTTGAGTCTGGATGTCACTGTGTGCCAAGTGCCTTTTATACACCCTCGGTGATGTGGAAAACCACAGGCATTACAGCATCAAGCATCTCACTAACCTGCCTCAGACAACATCATGAATACCTTCATTTATTGGAAAAACAAGGCTCTCATAACTGAGATAATTTTGTTCCTATGTCAGGATTCCATAATCAATTTATGGGTCTTTAAAATGAAACCCTTCTTCTGTTTTCAAGACTCTGGGTCATTCTATATTTAGTTTATTCAGTATATGTGACCTTATTACTTGGTATGATGTTTTAAGACAGGTATCCTATTTCTGTTTTTTCTTTTTGTGTTTCATTTCTCCATAGGGAGAAGGTTTTTGTGAAATAAGTCTTATCTGGAGAAACATGTTTCCTTATTCTCATGGAGAATAAGGTAGTTGTTGGTTTGCTTCTGAACCCTTGTCTGTGGTATATGTTAGTTCAATCTTACCTGAAAATAGGCAGCTAGGTTTTTGAGCAGAACAATATATGCTGTATGCTTTTCTTTGTCTCCTCATATGAAGTTTTTATGGATGCAACTGTGAAACACATCAAGGTTTAGTTAGGTGCTCCATCCTCAACTCTTCTGTATTTTTTTAAACAAAGGTCTCATTTGCTATTAGTGATGGCCTGCAATAACAGAAGTGGTTCATGTATTGTGACATGTGTGGGTATTTTCTGAGGGACCAAAAAGCCACACTGTCACCTCTAGTTTGTAGCTAGTAGAATTATAGGTAGAAATAGGGATATCCAAACATAGAAATACATTTTTGTTCATTTTAACATTGTCAATGGTTTTTTGCAATACAATTTATATAAAACAAACAAACTAGACCTATTTTAAGAGTACAGTTGAATGAGTTTGAATGTCAAACATAGATATTAATATAAATAATGAACCATCCAGAAGGATGTAGCTATTGGGAGATTTAATAAGGAAGGGAGAAGCTTCTTTTCTGATTCTACAATTACTGAATTAAAATTTCTTCTGATCCCACAAATCCTGCCAATAGTGTCCTGTTTTTTAATCATTGAACACTGAAACCAATGATCGCTTCATGGACAGAAAGAAAACCCCCTCATTCCTTATGTTCCTAATTTAGATTATTTGAGTCTTCAGAGAGAAATTTACATAGTATCTCAACCTATTTTTGGCAGTATTAATGTTTGAATTGAGAGTCTCATGCTTGGTAGGCAGGCATCCTCCTCCTTGAGAGACACCTCAGGCCCTTTCGCTCATGAGATAGGTCTCATTTTTTGCCTAGGCTGGCCTCCTATTTATGCTTCCTGTAGTAACTGGGATGACAGGCACACACACAACTGCACCTGATTTTTTTTTTCCTGTTCTGACAGAGTCTCACTAACTTCTTTGTCTGGAATGACCTGGAGACACAATCTTATTGATGTCAGTCTCCCATGTAGCTTGGGATGACAGGTGTGTGCCAGTGTACACAGGTATCAGTTGAGACAGAGACTCACGAACTATTTCCCTGGTCTGTTCATCCTCCTTATCTCAGCCTCCCAAAATGTGAGGATTAGGTGTGAGCCACTGGCAACCAACTTCAACCTCTTTCACACAGCCAGTTGTTATCCTTTTTTTTTTTACATCAATGTGCTAATCATTTTAAGATGTTTTATTATGTAACATTTATTATTGCTTCTTTGTCGCTCTTATTACTGTTTTCTTGTCCACGGTATAATATTCTAGAAATGAAAATCAGGGAAATTTTTAGCTCTGGAAGAAAATATAATGTTTTCTTACTTTTGAATTAGAAACTAAACTATTATTTTTTACTCATTGGACAAAATTAATCTAGTGTCACATGTATTGCAATTTTGTAAATAATTAAGATAGACTTACAGATGTCCAAGTAAGCTAGACATTTGTATTGGTCAGTCAAAATTTTATTATAAGTGTTGACTTTTCAAATATTATTATAACCAAACAACTTTTGGGCAAGATTGGAAATTTAAGTGGACAAACATTACACTTAACCAAACTCAATTTTTACTTGAATGGTGTCATATTGTGTAAAATTCCTTTGTCTTTGAATGTAATTGGGGTTCTTAAGAAAAAAAACGGACTGTGGGCACATTCAGGTTTTGAAACATTAAAGGAAAAATGTGGAATTACAAGATCTGAGAAATGTTTACATAAGAGGGAGACAGTGACTTGGGGCATTGAAGACTGTTGTGCTGAGCTGGGATGTTAGTCATCTTTCCATCCTGAGAAATACCTGAGACACCTTAGATAATTTTAAAAATAATTTTTAATAATAATGAAATACCTAAGATAATTATTTTTTCTGGGGAAAAGTTTTACTTTGTTTGTTTTTTCATGATCAGTTGGTCCTGATTTTGGACTGGGGCTAGGTACACATCATGACAGGAAAAGGCCCTGGAGACAAAAGAGGAAAAGACAGAGTTCCCACAATCCTCTTTGGAGTCAAGCCCTTATGACCTAAGGATCTTCCACTATGCTCCAATTCTCAAAGTTCCATCATCTCACAATAGTGCCATACTGGGGCAAGTCCTCTAATACATGGCCTTTTGGGGGCACATTTAAGATCTAAACTATATCAACTGCTAAAGATACTTTCTGTGGGATTTTCACATCAGATATTGGGAAGTTAGCAGCCACAAGACAGGGGGTTGAATGATAGGTAGCATGTAGACAGAATCAACGGATGCATGAGGAGTAGATTATCTCTCTTCTCACATACAATGCTAAGGAATTTAGGTAATATTTATAGTATCAAAAATAGTCAGGGATTGTTATATACAATACATGCAGGGACTGTATACAATAGGACTATACTGGTTGGCAAGCTGTCATTTGAGTATATGTTGGAAGTCTGATCAGATGCAGTGGTATGATTCAGGTTTCTGAATCACATGGAAACCACATTTGAAATGACCTAAATAAAAATAATCAATGTTCAGATAACCAAAATTTTAGATACTTGAAAACCTCAGGAGCCTTCCAAAGATTGGGGTGGTCTTGAATATTTATCTCTGTTTCTGTCTCTGTCTCAGAAAAATAAAAATTGGAGCTAAATTAACATAAATATTATTAAGGTCGATGTATAGAGGTATGTGGTTTTTTTAAACAAGAAACTTATTTTCTCTCATGAATTATATGAAATAAGCACACATAAACAATAATATTAATACGAAATAAAGTACAGACCTTTTCTCTAAGTGATAAGAAATTTCATTAGGTTAACTGAAGTGGGGACTGCTGAACCTGATTGCTTGCTCCTCAGCAGTCAGGGATGAAGTTGGTATTGCCGATGAGTGTACGGAGGTAAGGGTGTACAGCACAAGGGAAGGGTTCTTGTAGGTTGAGCTGCTCAGGAAGAACCTTATAGAACACAGAACAAGAATATTGTCCTCTGAGATGAGCAGCTCATAGTCAGAGACCAGGCATCGTACAGGTTGCCACTACAGCCCACGGTGTCAGAAATGCAAAGTTCAAAGCAAATCCCAAAACAAATAGAAGGAGAGAAATAATAAAAATAAGAGCTGAAATCAACGAAATAGAAACCAAAAAAACCATACAAAGAATTAATGAAACAAAAAGTTGGTTCTTTGAAAAAATAAACAAGATCGATAGACCCCTGGCAAACCTGACTAAAATGAGGAGAGAAAAAACCCAAATTAGTAGAATTAGGAATGCAAAAGGGGAGATAACAACAAACACCATGGAAGTCCACGAAATCATCAGAGACTACTTTGAGAACCTATATTCAAATAAATTTGAAAATCTAAAAGAAATGGACAGATTTCTAGATACATATGATCATCCAAAACTGAACCAAGAGGAAATTAATCACTTGAATAGACCTATTACACAAAATGAAATTGAAGCAGCAATCAAGAGTCTCCCCAAAAAGAAAAGTCCAGGACCTGATGGATTCTCTGCTGAATTCTATCAGACCTTTAAAGAAGAACTGATACCAACCCTCCTTAAACTGTTCCATGAAATAGAAAGGGAAGGAAAACTGCCAAACACATTTTATGAAGCCAGTATTACACTTATCCCAAAACCAGGCAAAGACACCTCCAAAAAGGAGAACTATAGGCCAATCTCCTTAATGAACATTGATGCAAAAATCCTCAACAAAATAATGGCAAACAATTCAGCAACACATCAAAAAGATTATTCACCACGACCAGTAGGCTTCATCCCAGGGATGCAGGGGTGGTTCAACATATGAAAATCAATAAACGTAATAAACCACATTAACAGAAGCAAAGACAAAAACCACTTGATCATCTCAATAGATGCAGAAAAAGCCTTTGATAAGATCCAACATCATTCATGATAAAAGCTCTAAGAAAACTAGGAATAGAAGGAAAGTTCCTCAACATTATAAAAGCTATATATGACAAACCTACAGCCAGCATTATACTTAATGGAGAAAAACTAAAACCATTCCCTCTAAAATCAGGAACCAGACAAGGATGCCCACTATCTCCACTCCTATTCAACATAGTACTGGAATTCCTAGCCAGAGCAATTAGGCAAGAAGAAGGAATAAAAGGAATACAAATAGGTAAAGAAACTGTCAAAATATCCCTATTTGCAGACGACATGATCCTATACCTTAAAGACCCAAAAAACTCTACTCAGAAGCTTCTAGACATCATCAATAGCTATAGCAAGGTAGCAGGATATAAAATCAACATAGAAAAATCATTAGCATTTCTATACACTAACAATGAGCAAACGAAAAAGAATGTATGAAAACAATTCCATTTACAATAGCCTCAAAAAAATCAAATACCTAGGTGTAAACCTAACAAAAGATGTGAAAGACCTCTACAAGGAAAACTATACACTTCTGAAGAAAGAGATTGAGGAAGACTATAGAAAGTGGAGAGATCTCCCATGCTCATGGATTGGTAGAATCAACATAGTAAAAATGT